ATGCATTAAAAAGGACCGCGCCAAAGGAATCTGAAACAAATCATTGGCATCGAATTATTTAATCTTTAGTTTATTAAAACAGTAATTTAATTAGTTATAATATGATTAATTAAATTTTGTAAAGGATATATATGAGACAACTACAACTAAATTTAATTTATAAAATTTATATATTTTTAAATATTTTAATAGAGTATTTTATAAAGTTTAGAGTAGTTTATCTTATCATTTATCTGTTAAGAGCTTATAGGAAAATTCAATACTGTCATTTGTCTTACAGGGTAAGTTTTTAGTGCATTAAAATGGCATTATATGCAATAGTTTATCTGATAAGCGCTAAGCAGATAAAAGTTGTTATCTTTACTTACCGGATGAGACCATTAGTCATTGTCATCGCTCTTACCGGATTAGATTTTCGGTTTTTATCATGTTCATCCGATAAATTAATGACTTGGTAAAAAACTTACGTGTAAGCGTCTGGTAAACGACCCATTATATTATAATATTAAACATTTGTTCGTTTTATTCAAAATTGTTACAATAAGTTTAAAATGACGTGTTTTGCCGTTTTAACAATAAAATTGTTTAAACGTTCAAAAACCTCTTATAAATTTATTAACCAAAATTGCCATATTTTACTGTCGTTTCTAAAAATTAGCCACCAATTTTTTTTTTCTAAAACTGCAACTTGCAGTTTTGGCTTCTTTTGCAGGTATGAGTTTATAAATTTACATGTTTTCTTATTCATTATTACATAGAGATCTTTTAGTGACCGTTTACCAAAAGCTTACTGGATAAGTATTTATCAAGTTATATTGTTTTACCAGATAAATATAGCAAGAAACAAGAATCTTACCCGTAAGAGCAAGGCAAAGACCGAGAGTCTTACGCGGTAAGTGAGGATGGAGACTCTTATCACGGTTAGCGCTTACCGGGTAAATTGTTGCGTACAATGTCATTTTTGTTGACTAAGATCTTACCGATAAGAAAGTGATAGTGTTGAATTTTACCGCTAAATGTTTATCGGGTAAGTGTTTAATAAACGGCCCTTTAGTCTCTTTCCATCCATTTGCTTAGACAATAAGAACATGGATTTTCAAAAACCAAAGTTAGATTATAGTTTTAGATTTGGCCATCGACACCGCAAGTTGCAATTTAGGTTTGCGGCACCCGAAGTTGCGTTTTATCCTTAGAAAACGGAGTATTATTTTCTATAAAAATATATCAGAAAAAGTCTGACATTGTAAGTAAAAGGTGATTTACAGTGTCAGAATTACGTGATTACGGACTTTTAAAGAAATAGATGGCTATTACGTCACATAGTGAATTTATTAAAATAAACCTAGTTTATTGTAGTGTTTATTGAAATAATAATGCGATATTTTGGATCATAACTTATTTTTTATTTTGTTCCTTTGAATGCTTTTAATTTAATTTTACAGCCACGGAAAAATCAACTCAATAATCGTAATGGGTGATAACGTAGTGGATAAAGATAAAGAGATCATAAAATCAACATGGGTATGAATTCCTGTCATTTACATATGTGTTTCTCGACACGAAGAAATTTACCTCAACGCTATGGTTAAGGATGGAAACGAGGAGGGTAATGCATCCACGACCCTGGTTTAATCCTCGTCCCCTGTCCTTGACCCTGACTAATCTGTCGATGGGTTCAGGGGGAAGAATTCTCGATGAAATCAGCTACACACGGATTCAAACCAATGACCTTTGCTTTGAAAAACATGTAACCAACCAACTAATCTATCGTGATGTTATTGTTACCAACCCCCCCCCCCCCCGAAAAAAAAGCTTGCAAGTCGAAATCCTTTTCCTGTTGACAATCAACGACGCCTTTCAACCGTAAGGACACTGAATTCCTCCCGTATATGCTCAAAGAAGTATCGTTATACTTCCGTTCCATACACATAAAAGAAAACGTAAATTTGGAACCATCGATCGGTAACTTAGTTTTAGGCATTTGCATTTATCATTCACCAACTAAAATTAGGAGGTATTGCTAAATCTGTAGATTTGGTCCAAAAGTTTAATTCCTTATATTTTTGGTCCAATTACGTGTTTTTCTAAAAATTTGAACTCCATTTTTGATGTTGTCTGTTTGATGCTTTAAGTGCCATTATATGTCGTGCACACAACGGACTTTTTTAGTCGTTTCGCTCTATTTTCGATGTTGTCTATTTGATGCTTTAATGTCATTATATGTCGTGCACACACATGACTTTTTAGTCATTTCATTTCTTTTACACAAAATTCAGAAAGCTTAAAAACATACTAGAAGGGTACTCACGCAATGCATCGAGATACATCTCGATTTTAATGTTCTATATTATTATTTGTCTCTATCGATTTTATAATACGATTTTATGTGTTTTTAAGAAAGCAATAATGATTTTATTTTTGAATAAAATATAAATTTAAAGATATCATAAGAATTTGAAAAAAAATATATATCAATATCAAATCAACTATTTAAAAGTTCTCATTTTTTATGTAATTTCTTTAATTTTTTTTATTGTAATTTAATTTAAGTTTAATAATGAAATAATTTATTTTTGCTTTAATAATATTAAATTTTATAAAGATAATAATTAAATATTATGTAAGAACTCAATGGTTATCCTAATTATATTTTAGATTTATTATATTTAAAATGAGATGTTTATCTTGTATTTGATTATGTTTATCCGCAGTTAGTTACACGAATTCAGATATAGAGCTTTGATAAGTTGCACTTACGCATAATGTACTTTTAATCTTGAGTTTTAAGTAGCATGATGCATTAATAAACAGTATTTTATACATAAAAAATTAATTTTTAAAAATTTTTGTCAAATGTTTTATAATATAGTATAGATAAAGATCATATCATAATTGATTATGCCAGACACAATCCCTGGTTGGAGTTGATTCCAACGACACAGAGATGAGAGCATGCTTGTGACGTGAATGTGAATAGTAAATGAAGAAACGAAAAAGAGGAACACGATACACATTTTGGAGAACACAACGTGAATTGTGATAAATGAATAATTTGGCCCAGTCCTATCTTATTGGGCTCATTCTCGCCGTTAATTAGGCCCACTATTATTATTTTTTAAGAAAAAGAAATAAAAAAATAGAGTAAATTACAAATTTTGTCTCTGGGGTTATTAAAATTTTCGAATTAATTACATCTATAATCACTATGATTTTACTTTTTGTTACGGAGTTAGGTCCTTGACCCTAACTCTATTAAGGGGCCGTTTACTAAACACTTACTTGATGAGTGTTTAACGCATAAATTTTTTTATTGGATGAACATGAAAAGGCCCAAGAATCTTACCAGATAAAAGCGATGAGAAGGATGGAGAGTTTTACATAGTAAGTGAGAATGACGATTTTTACACAGGTAAACGCGTACCCAGTAAATTGTTGTATTCAATATGTTTTGATATATACTAAAATCTTACGCATCAAAATAAATTACAGTGTTGACTTCTATTGGTAAACGGCCCCCTAACTGGTGTTTCGTTAACTTAGGGGTAAAATCGTATTTTTAATAACTTTCATCTTTAAATTATACATACAACATCTGAATCGTGGCCCTCTCTGATCTGATCTCCGGCGTCTCCTTCCTCCCTCCACTCGCCGCTGCTCTCCACCACACTCCATCGTTCATCATCTGCCCTCCGCATCGCTGGTAACAAGGCTTACACATCGCCGGTAACAAGGATCACACGGTAATACGAGATCCACCGTCCACTCCACGATTCACCACCACGCCTCACCACCATCCACTCCCCTCGTTTGAATGTATGGATTGAATCCACAGGTGGTACAGATCGAGTACGAGAAGCCATCACCATCTCCAAATGACACTCTGATTTTGTTTCTACTGTAATATGATTTTGTTCTTGAAAACCAAAAATTAGGGTTTTTTTATATGAGATGTGGATTCAATTTTTTGTAATATCCATCTCCAGTCATGGATTCAAATTTTTAGGCAATATGTTTTCCTATCTACTTGCCATGAATTCTTGTAAACAAAAATGGAGGTCATGCGATCATTCAGCACCAGAGCCCAAACAATCATTATTGCTTGCTGCTTTAAAACCGTAAATGAACACGCTGATTAAGCTCTTGCAGTATCACAATTACTGCCTCTTTGTTCATGACTACATACCAAACAGAAGGGACAAAAATAGTTGTAATTATTTCATTTGGTGGACCAATCCATAAATTCTATAACTATAGGGACTAAATCTGTAATTTACTTTAAAAAGTAGAATAAAAAATTAAAATTAAAAAATGTGACGGTTTGAGGGGTCTAGTGGTACCATTCAATCTAAAAAATAGTCAAACCATTCGGTCAATCTGGTTTGCAGTTTGAACGTTTTTTTGAACGGTCTGAATCGAACTCACCACCAAAAATATACACGTATTAATTATATTTAGTTTTCATGTTGTAGACTCAACTTTATGGACCAATTAAAAAAATTCATCTTAAACATTATGTTTTTAGTTTTAGTTTTCATTTCACAATTGATTGCCCTCTCTAAATTGGCAAAATTCTAAAATCCTTCAAAAATCAAATCCAAAATTCTTAATCATCTTTCAACTTGCTCAATATTTGTCTAAACTTCAAACAACTGTTGGTTGATTTATATAACTTTTTTTTTGAAATTGTTCAATATCTTATTTTTTTTAATAATGTATCAGTAAAAATTTCATTTTTAATACAGATATTATGTTTTTTCTATTTAAAACTCATAAGAGGTTCAAACTGTCTAAATCAGTCAGAAAACACTGTTTTTTTACAATCTGGTTTAACCGGGTTTGGTTATTTGTCGTCAAATCGCTCAGTTTGAAAATTTTCATAAACCTCCATTACGGTTTAATCTGTGGTTTGAAGGGTTAAACCATTCAAACCGGACTACAAACACATCTATTTGTTTGTTGTTTTGTTAATAAATGTTTGGCCTTCCAAAAGAAGAAACAACTAATCATCAAAGTTTCAATGCACAACTTGCCATTTAAGAATTTCAACTTCTTGACATCTTGTTTCTTATTCATCATCAAATACAACAAAATTAACAAACACTTCATAAAGTTTTACAAAACGTTTAATCAACATTGATGTTCAACAAGTTGATCAGTAATGAAGCACATACACATCATGCTTAACAACTGCATCACCGCTGCTAAGATTTAGAGAATGAGTCGTTGCAAGTACATAACCACGCGCAAATCGAAAAAGCCCGCTCCCACCCACGATCGGCATCTCTCTCACTTTTGACAAGAACGAATTCTTCCCCAATACACTCAAAGTACTCCCATTGTATTTCCCTTCAACAAAAGCATAATTAAAAACCATCAACAACCCAAATTCATTTAAGTCAGTAAACGCATATATCCCTTGAGCTCTTCCAACAATCTTGGAGGTCGGTTCAGGACCCACTGTTAATGAGTCGTCTATTACGTGTGTGGCTCCAAATAGGGTGCGAGACGTGTTGGTCATGGCGGCTTCAGCCACCCGGACTGCAGTCGGATGGTCGCCACTAACTAAGTCATGCAAGTAGAATTGAAGGTGGCTCAACTTCTCTCTCTTGAATCCATATGATCTTTGAGACAAGGATCTTGAGAACTTGTGGGATCCTCCTTCAATGACAAGTGAGAATAGGAAAAGGGCAAGGATGGAAAACTTGTGCTTGGGGAGAATTTGAACCATGGTGGTGGTGAGAGATTTAGAGTGATGGGGTTCATTTATAAAGAAAGAAAATGGGCAGGGTGTATGGAAATTACATCACTACCCTTGTATTATGATATACTTTAACTTTGTTAGATCATTCTAATACAACATAATATATTGTTAGGTCAATACCCAATGAGGTGTTGTTTGCATGTTGTTAAATATAATAATTAATATATTGTTTTTTATATGATAAAAGATAATTACGTCTACTGCATCCCATACAACTGCTCACATAATTTCAGTTGGACATCAGTAAAAACATGATATGTAAGCATATAGAGGGTTAAAACAGTATCGTACAAACTCTTTCTACACAAATTACGAATTACCGATAAAACCAAGAACTAGTAATGAAAAATGTTGATTAGACGTCCTCTTGCTGATTTTATATCATATGGAATTCTTGGAACCGGACGATGTTTTCCAAGAAACATACGCCAGAACAAGATTTGTTTTTCGACATTCAGCTAATTTCTTTTTGTTGACTTTCTATTTGCGTTGGTTTTTTGTCTTGTTGTTGGTTCATTTTCTGTTGCTCGTGGTTTTGTTTGGTCTTTTGATAGTCGTTGTGTTCCGTTTGCTCATCTGATTTCTATTTGTTTTTGTTTCTGCTTTTTATGGTAGCAGTCAGGGTTGCACTACCTTTTTATAAAATATTTGATGTTTTTCAAAAAAATAATGAAAAATGTTGATGAAAGATTGATAATAAATCATAAATTTAGAAAACTAATTTATACTAAAAATAGAAAAAAAAATATAAATTCCTAAAACTAAATTTAGTCTCCAATGGAATTAAAAATAATTTAATAAATTATTGAGTAATAATGAGGCGGGTTTTCTTGCGTCATTCTAGTTCATGCTACTTGGTTTGTTATAATATTATTGGAGATATTTTATAGAAGTGAAAAATATAAAAATTAACATTCAAAAAAAAAATGAAAACTAAAATCACGATAATTCTTTATGAGGTATTAGAAGTGTACTCGTATAATACAACGTGATATTTCTCGATTTTAATGTATGTCATGCTCCTTGTTAATATCGATTTTATAATACAGTTTGTGTAGTATTTTTACTAGGTAAGCGGTTACTAGGTAAAAGTATTTTTCTTCACTTACCAGATAAAATTCTCTATTGTTGTTATGACCATCCTATAAGATAAATAATTGTAATAACCCCCTTTTTCTCTTTATGTTATTTTATGAAAATTTGTGGTAAAGTTTGTAATCTTTTCTATCCTTCAGGGACTAAGGTTGTAAATAAGAGGGTAAAAATGAGAGGGAGCATTCTCATTTCAGCCTATTTGTGATTGACACCACTCTAAGGTGTGTTTTGGAGGAGCAAAGGAGAAAGGTAGCGTTAAGTGGCCGTTTACCAAACGCTTATTTGAATAAATGTTTATCAAATCACATTATATTATCGGATGAATATGGTAAGGACCAAAAATCTTACCCGGTAAGAGCAAAAGACAAAGACCAAGAGTCTTACCCGGTAAGTGAGGGCAACGATTCTTACCACGGTAAGTGCTTACCGGGTAAATTGTTGCATACGATGTTGTTTTGATGGATTAAAATCTTACCCAATAAGTAAAGAATAGTGTTAATTTTGCCGGTAAGCGCTTACCGAGTAAGTGTTTAGTAAACGGTCCCTGAAGCCATTTGGCAATTGTGAGAAGGATCAAGTGGAGGATTGATTTCCTCTTAAAAGCTTAAATCTCTTCATTAATGGAGTTTTGTAGAGTAAATTGAAAGGTTTAGGGCTCTTTTATACTTCATGGTGTATTGATTGATCGGTTTAGGAAATCTAAGGGGTTGTTTACCCAAATGCTTACTCGATAAGCGCTTATCAGTTCGAGTCAACACTATAATTTAATAGATTTTCCAAAATTGAGAAAATGGAGATTTAAGGCATATTTTTGTTTCAACAGGCTCTCCAAAATTCTCCAAAATGGAGAAAACATGAGAGAGAGTGTAAACAAAAATTGATTACAATGAGAGAGAATCATTTTTTATCATATTCACACCGATAAGAATCTTTGATATTAAAGGTTTATATGTCACTGACATATCTTTTTTTGTCTTTATTTGACCCCAAGAATGGATTGGATCGAAACGACTTTCCTGCCAATGGGAGATTGGCTGGATTGGCTGGGGCGGGGAGCTCGAGCCCTGGTTTTATTAGAGTTTTAATTATCCATTTTGGAAATTTTTTGAAAAATATGTTGAAGATGTTATAATATTGTAAAAATTTGTAAATCAAAATGATTTGTTTTTAGACTATTAAATTTTAGAAAAAAGATTGATTAATGTAATATTAAAACTCGACACATTCAAAGTATTAACAGGAAAATAGTAATACCAACTTAAACATTATTTACATATAATTATTTACTCTAAAAACTTAAACTTTCAAAGTATTAACCGAGAAATAGTAATACCGGTGTAATTTACTTTAAAAACTTATATTTACATATAATTAATATATTACTAGTTGTGTACCCGCGCAATGCAGCGGGAGCCATGAATTTTAACGATTTTGAAGTTTCACTAGTTTTATAAGACAAGATTTAACGATGATATAGGTTACACTTGGTCTTTACATATTAATACAATTTGAATAAATAAGAGTTATGGTTCCAATTACAGACTATCGATGAAAAAAATTGTAHGACARTTTAAAATCCAAYATATTTRAAATCCAACATATTTAAACGACTCCACAAATGTGTTCGATTTACACCAAGAGTAAAGAACCAAAAAACTTGAGTTTTAAGATAAACACTCAAAACCAATAAAGAAAACTACAAATTTGACAGATCATAAGCCATGAAAGACCAAAAAAGATGGGTTTTAGAATGAAATTTCAACTGCTTAACCTCTTTCTTGTCCAGAARCTCAGATTAAAATTGAATTAATACATATATATACATATATATATATATATATATTTCAAAAAAAACCCAATAACATATTAATTCAGAACATATTATACAATGCAATTTGGACAGGCTAATCCCAAAATGTATAACATATATATAAATAAATAACTATAAAAGTACAAATCGTAATTAAAAATATTTTTTCATAGTATATATAATATATAATAATATAATTAAGTCAAAAACTATTCAATATTGGACTCATTTCGAAGGTATTAACGAGACGATTATAATGGTGTAACTTGTTAAAATAAAAATGTATTTTTTAAACATGTTTTATTTGATATACGATTATGTATGTTAATTTGATAAATGTTTAAAATGAAAATTTTAAAAGTAAAGGACGTAAAGTAATTAATTAACTAATTATAGGGATATAAAATGTAAATTTAAAATTATAATTTTAAAAAAAATCCATGAATGTGAGAGGTGAATGTATGTGAAGGGGTGAGTGTATGTGAGGAGAGGAAGAGGTGAAAAAGTAAAAAAGTGAAAAGGGTATCTTGGTCATTTAGAATTTTAAGACTTTAAGACTTTTGATGAATTTGCTTAATAAGATAGTATAGATATAGATATAAAAACTAATACATATAATTAAATATTAATAATTTATATAAAGTGATAATGATTGCCAATTAAGATACTTATTGTATATGTTTTAAAAGCTTAGTTATAGTATTTAAGTATAAAAGTGGGGATGGTCCCCAATGGCCCCCATGGGGTTCCGCCCCTACTTATAAGTGCTTACGGATAAGATTTAACATATACATTTAACTTATCGGGTAAGATTTTATTCATTAAAACAACATCATATGCAACATTTTTATCAAGTAAACACTTATCGGGTAAGAGTCACTATTATCACTTACCAAGTAAGACTCTTGGTACTTATCATTGTTTTTACCGGGTAACATTATCAATACTTGTCATATTCATCTGATCAGTTAAAAGGGCAGGGTAAAAACTTATCAAATAAGTGTTTAATAAACGACTCATAATTAATAACCCTCCCCTAACATGGAAGCATCCAACCATTAAGCTCCACGTTAATATGTCTAAATATTCGTATTATTAAAATTACATGTTATTATCACGAAAAAATAAAAAAAGTTAAAAAATTATCCGAAGGCCCTGATGATTGGAGACCGCGTGCCGCGGCATCACCGGCACATCTCCAGGACCAACCCTGGTTGTTACAATGATATACAGTAAATGCTTATTTAATAAGCTCTTGATAAACGACTACTAAATCTTTCAAGATCGTATCAGTTGTTTTAATAAAATTTGAATTCAAAAGCACTTAAAAAATGTAATGTGATTTTTTTAATAGCGATAAATTTGATACCAGATATATTTAAGTCATTCAAAAGATCTCAGATGTAATTTATTATGTAGTGTCTGTCTCGTTGTAATCAGATAAAATTTAAATGAATTGGAATAGTCAACTCTATTGATAAGACTTTGTTCATTCATTTGGTCCCTTATTTTTGAGTTTTAGTAACGAATTTGTAGTCGACATACGGTGGAATGCAAATTCCCCGAGTTTTAGCAAGAAATTCAAATTCCTTCATTCAATTCCATCCACGATGGTTGTCATTACCACCATCGTCGATGCCGCCACTTTCGTTCACCGTCACCATCGTCATTACCACTGACGCCTTCACCTTACCGCCTTTACTGATGTCGCCTTCACCCCCACCATCATCGTCGTCAATATCACCACCAACGTTGCCACAGTCATGGTCACCACCACCACCGTCGTCGCCGCCACCATCGTTCCACCACGGTAATACTATTATATTCGACAAACCAAACAAACAGATTCAATTTTTTTGACATATTCAATTTTAGTTTTGCGAACCAAATACATGGTCAAACATCATCAAATTTCATTAAAATTACTTTGATGTATTCAAATTCCGACGAGATTTCATTATCTGAACCAAACATAATCTTAGATTTATTTAATCAGATCGAATATTTATAATTAAATTAAATTTAAAAAAAAAATATACACGTCATAAGGACAGTCGAATAAGAC